TTGATAGGATTAACAGTTTAAAATTTATAAATGTATTTTATTTTCCTGGTTGAATGTGAATGAGGAGTTTATAGGTTAGTCGAACTTCGCAAGTTCACTACTTCTCCTTCCTGGTTAATGATCGATCGTAATATGAAAAATTGTTTTGGCACGTGACAGGAGAAAATTAATAACTTTTAATGGATTATATTTAAGGATTAAAGGATAGAAAAGATACAAAAAGTAGAAAAGATTACTGGAAAATTGTAAATTGTTACCTTGTGTAAAATATGTAGCATATAGTAAAACAAAGATCTTTCATTTAATATTACAAGACAATTATAAAAAGTAACTTTACATAATTTTATTTGAAAATAATACAATATTTATTTAGGTTAATTAAAGTTATTAATTAATGCGTAAATATTTGTTTTATATTCATAACATGTACTGTACAAGAAGCTGGGTAATGTTATCTTGCCCCTGGTAATGAACTTTCACTGTATAACAACAGGGTATTGCAGGAAATATATATATTTAGGGCATTAATTCAATGAAAATTAAACGTTATTTAAAATATTTTAAAGTAAATTTCAACTTTTAATTTTTATTCTAATTATTTAATACAAAATATTTAGAAAAATAGAANAATAATAAAATGTTACACGTCTGCATGATATTTTGAATTGTAGATTTTTATGAAGTGAATTAATGCGAATTAAACTAAAAATTTTAATTAATTAATAAATTTGAATTTATTGGAAAAAAGAGCAATTATTTATTGTGACTGCATTTTTTTACTTCAATTTAATTTAATTTAAAATATATGCTCTTGATTTTAATAATGTCTTGCCCCTGTACATCATACTTTTCCTATTAACATGTCGGCCTTCCATCTAACTCGTTTCTGTAAGATATTTGTGAATTGAAATAACGTGACTTCTGGTGCAACCTGACGTTTATATTAGATAATTAGGGCCTTCTGCACCTAAAAGTTCTTGTTGGGCTGAAATTCTCAAATTGTACACCCATATTGTCTGTACACCTATACTCCATTGTCTGTATTGTGTGTGTGTGTGTGTGTGTGTCTGTCTTTCATATTAATCTCGAGAAGGGAGTTAGATAGACGAAAATCGAGAACAGATATGGGAAGCTTAGGAGCAGGAGACCTCGATTAATTTTATATAAACTTTTGCTCTGGACCGGAATTCAATTTTTTTAAATTAAAAGATGATTAAAAATTACAGCACGGCATTATGACGATGTCACAATAAATAATTGTTCGTTTATTTTAAAGAAAGCATCATTTACAAAAGTAGATGCTGCAGAGAAAGCTTACTAACAGCATTATTCATTTTATAAGCTGCGATTATTAGAAAAAAGATCACCCCTCTGTACTTTACTAGGTTAAAGTTAAATAGCTTTTAAGTAACTAAACTTATTATGTTTGTTAAGATATGATTGACGTATTTTACAATGAAATTTCGTAAATATATTGACGATAACTAATTTACTTAATTAAATTTAGAAGATAAACATAAGCGTAAAATGAATAAGGCTATCTAAGCTCATATTTAATAAATATACTTAAAATCTGCACAGAAAATATTATAAATTTGAAATATACAAACTTTACTAAATAAATTAATAAAATTTTATGATAGCTTTTAAATATATTTGATTTAAACCAAGCATTTGAATTTTTAATTAAAATATTGTTAGAATTTTAGTAACATTTTAATAACGAAATCCGGCAACAAGTTGCGTAACTTTCCCGGCAACATTTCAAATTGTATGTGAAAGCCATCTGTTATCAGATGTTATTATTAAAAAATAACTTTTATATTATTAATTACAGTATTATAAAAAAGAAAAAATTGCTTAATTTTGAGGGTAAAGATGAGTTTTTAAAATGTTGTAAAGGCCAATAACGAGTGAAATTTTCACCATACTCCGACTACACGCAAGATATGGCACGTGACTTCTCCCTTTCTCTCTCTCCATCCCATTGAATTTTGCACTCCAAAATTTAATAGCATCAATGCCCCTTATATACAAGTCACCATGCCAAATATCGTTTCTTAACCTTTACCCCATTCTGAGATATTAAACGAAATAGACACCAACACATACACAAATCCACACCCCAGAATTATTTTTTTTTTCAGTTTTTTGGGGGTTAAGAGGGTCTAGGAAAAGTGGAGATTTAAGAAATTCTGAAGGGTCAAATATAATACAATTGACACGACTGCAAATAAAGGGTTGCATATGTTTAACTTTACGTTAATTTCGATACATAGAATGTAAGTAATAATCAATCAATTCATTGTAATATATGAAAAATTTGTTTAGAAATTATTTTTATATTAAAATTTTAATTTATAGAGATTATTTTTTATTCGAAGATAAACTTAACTTTATAAATAATGTATCCGAAGCCATATTTATCACTCTATATTTGAATCTTTATGCTATTTATCTTTATGAAATTTATCACTGAAAGAGATAAAAATCGTCGATTTTGCATGGATGACGAGATACGAAGGAAGTTTGTTTGAACAGACTTTCTGACAGCCTGAAAATAGCTCGAGAAACTTTATATTTTAATTTTCTTTATATTTAAATTCATACGCCCACTCTCGTTCATCAAATAGATTTGTGTTTGATTTGGATTTTAAATATTTATGTAAGATAATATGATATAGGAAACGTCAGTTTAATTAAAATAATAAAATTTTATGAGAAAATTTGGATCTATATGGCTTCCTTCATCTCAATTGTGGAACCTTACAATTTGAATAAATTAAGTAGTGTAACTTTTGTTTAAAAAATACAGGAAAGAGATAAAGAAAACATAAAAACGCAGAAGGAAAGTCACTAAATACTGTCGTAATTAGAAGACAAACACGTCCCTTTCACAATGCAAGAACACAAGATCAAGATAGCACAATTGAACTTCTGAGAATCTTCACAATTCGTCCAGGAACAAGCAAGGAAAAGCCTTTAAAAAAAGGTTATTTCTTGCTTGTTCCAGGCAAAGTGCTTTCTGATCATAAAAACTATTACTATAAGCAAGGACGAGTCATTTTAAGGCTCTTCCTTGCTTGAAGTAAGAGCCTTTCAGGTGTTATAATAATAGTGATAAGTTAATGATAGGTTAATAATAATAATAGGAAGAGCCTTAATAAAGGCTCCTCCTCGCTTCTTCTGATGTACAGAAATTTAAATTTAACTTACATTTAAGCTTTCTATTCAGTTATATTACCATTATTCTTACTGGAAATATGTTTAGAAACTGTAACCTAAGTTTAATTTTATTTATTAATTAGAATTCATTATGTAAATTTTACACTGCATTTTATGTGCACATGAATCATTCGTGTATTCAGCTAATGAAAAGCAGCTTGCAGACTGAAGCAATACCTTAACAAATTAAAATCTCTTCTAACGTTTACTTGTATATTAGCAAACCAAACACTCGAAAGGGTCAGAAATTGTAAATGGGATGTCTCCGAATTCGATTCAGCACAAATGACAATCTGACAAAGTGGCCATCATCATACAGTTATCATGTCAAGTGACAATTACAACATGAATATAGTTAAATAGCTCTATAAAATTAATTGCAATTACTGTAAATTATATTAGTAAAAATAAATATTTTGTTTTATAAATTTAAAATAGAACATCGACTTGTTTATGACAATATAACAATAGTTTATCTGACGTAAGCTTAGTCTTATGAGGCCACTTCTATATATATTTATATAGTTTAAAGCTCGTATCACACGTGTTAGATATTAAAATAAGATGTGTAAGATTAATGCGGAGTTTTTCGATTATTAGTCCACAATTTAATGTCTACAAGCATGTAACAGTGCGTGTCTGAGGCCCCTAAAAGCACGATTCCCTAAACAAATATCTAAGTTGCTTACGCCCGACATTAGATATTAAATTATTCTATAATATACACTATAAAAAATTGCAATAAAATTCTCTATTTTTATTGAAAAATTGAAAGAAAAATAAGCATGAACTAAGTACAAATTCATTTAAAGGGGGGGAAAATCCATTTTACAAAATCTCCCAGGACTTTTAATCCATTTAAGTGAATGAAACCATATAAATCTCGACCACAAATAATATAAACTAAAAGTAAATCTTAAAAAGTAAGATTAAATAAAAGAAAATGAAATTTATTATTATTATTTTTTTTATTATTCAAATAAAAAGTCGGAATTATAATAATAATAATAAAAGCCAGTCACGAAATATCTGCGTGTTATAAATATAAATTAGTAATTATCTGCTACAAAATAACGGATATTAATAAATTTATGCATCCAATATTATATGAAAGCTTGCTTCTCTTCGTAACACTGCAACCACAAACTATGTTCTACGTATCTAAAGCGTAGTTTATGATGTAGAAGAGTAGAAACAACTAATTTTTCTTCTCTCTCTCTCTCCTTTAAAAATAAATAAATAAATAATAATATAATAATAATAAAATGTTAAAAACGAAACGTCAGGCTAATCTACATACCACGTAGGATACGGAGCTTAGTTTTGTTACTAGTGACAGAATCGACAAACCGGTCGATGAGGAAACTACACGCATGCTTCAGTAACAGCATACGTTTCGCCTGAGATTTTCCACTTATTTTTATAAATTTCGAGCTTGTTTGCGTGTCTATCCGTACGAAACAGAAATAACATAAAGTATCCGTTCGTAAGATTCAAATTTTTAAAATAATAACAAAGAAATATAAAATTTTTTAGAAGAGAAAAAATATACACATGTATCGACACCCCTTCAGATATTTGCTAATATTATCGAAATATACAAGAATTTAAAGATATAAACGATCATTTCGGCATGTAAATTATTAAAGAACGAAGTTATAATTACTAAAAGGAAAGATTTTCGGTAGATTTAAGGATATTAAGACGGAGTAATTTGTGAAAATGCGCCGAGAAATCCGCAGGACAGCCATTTTGTCGACGTTAGCGCCCCAGACGGAAGGTGGCAACGTGAATATCTCGGATCCATAACCGATCTGGATGTTTCGAATAATGCTTAATGATTGTTAAGCGGATATACAAACCCATTGCTACTAGAAATCGTCAGAGGTGTGTTGTATCTGTGCCCATTTCTCACTGATGTAACCTCGTGTCGTTTCTTCAACCGTTCGACAAGTAAAATCGAGGTTTAGCTCTAGTTTTATTTGGCATTACCGACGGAGACTTAACTCGGTAAGTACTTTATAGCCAAATTTCCTCAATTTAACGTTTCGCTTAAGGAGAAATCGGCATCTTTTGATATATAACACGTATTATATTTAATGTACGGGATAACAATATGGGATTATCGTCTCGTTATCTAATCGTAATGTAGTAAATAAATAATGTAGACGTTATCTAATTTGATAATACTGGAAATTACACTCTTAAAATTTTAAGTGTAATTTAAAATTACTATATAAAGTGCAAGGATTTAAATCAATTACCATTCGGTCGATAGTTAACCTATATAATATCAATAAATACTTTTGCGATTCTTCTGTAAGTAAGGAAAATTCTATCGAAATATTAATTTTATAATATTAAATATAATATATATCCAGTTTTTAATACTATAAAGCATTAATCTAGTCTATTATAAGGCTGGAAAATTTTTTACTACAACTCCAAAGTTATAAAATAGTAAGCATCATTCACTTACAGAAGAAGAAGAAGATACCCTCTTTGAGAGTGTTTAAATTAATTTAACAATTATAATTTTTAATATATAATATGTAAAATGTATTAATTATAAACGATATAGGCGTTATAATTGAAAGCCGAGAGGTAAATTATATATAATTTCCTTAATATAAGAGAATTCAGGCGGATAATCCCGTTAACCAGATGGAATGCGGTGATTAACGTTTATTAATGAGGATATTTACGCGTTGTTTCGTTGGAAAATAGAGAAAAATATTATTCAAATTCAATTGAAAAAGAAGATTATTTTTTTTTCAATTTTCGATTAATTAATTAATAAAATAATAATAACAAATAATCATTGATAATCGATATCGATTTATTTGAGTTTGTTAGAAAAGATATTGCAGTGCAGTAACGGAGCGAGTAAGTATCGACTAACAAATCGATTCTTTTCTTCGGCTCAGCTGTTTTCACTAACTAAAATATGTTAGGAGTTTGATAGGATTAACAGTTTAAAATTTATAAATGTATTTTATTTTCCTGGTTGAATGTGAATGAGGAGTTTATAGGTTAGTCGAACTTCGCAAGTTCACTACTTCTCCTTCCTGGTTAATGATCGATCGTAATATGAAAAATTGTTTTGGCACGTGACAGGAGAAAATTAATAACTTTTAATGGATTATATTTAAGGATTAAAGGATAGAAAAGATACAAAAAGTAGAAAAGATTACTGGAAAATTGTAAATTGTTACCTTGTGTAAAATATGTAGCATATAGTAAAACAAAGATCTTTCATTTAATATTACAAGACAATTATAAAAAGTAACTTTACATAATTTTATTTGAAAATAATACAATATTTATTTAGGTTAATTAAAGTTATTAATTAATGCGTAAATATTTGTTTTATATTCATAACATGTACTGTACAAGAAGCTGGGTAATGTTATCTTGCCCCTGGTAATGAACTTTCACTGTATAACAACAGGGTATTGCAGGAAATATATATATTTAGGGCATTAATTCAATGAAAATTAAANAATTAATGAGTTTCTTAATTAATTGTAAAATTATATAAAATGGATAGAAACATCTGTTTTCTTAATAATTAGCACTGTGAGCCCAGCGCTGCTCAGGCAAAAAATAACAACAGCAAAGATTAAGATTATTGGTTATTTCGTACTTCTAATTTTTCTATTATATTAATTCCTTTCTTAAACTCGAAAACGGAGTTAGATACATGAAAGTCGAGACGAGAAATAGAAATGGTAAGAGAAAGAGCACAAGACTAACTATTGTATATATTAACTTCCGATTTGTACCGTAAGTCACGTTATTTCAATTCAAAAATTTTTTCTCTGAATGGAGTTCGATGCATAACCGGCGCGGTTCTATCGTTAACAGGAAAGTTACGATGTACTGTACAGGAGCAAAAGACTACTAAACTTCACTAGGCAAGTGCTATGTACTGTACTACCTGTCGTAGTGACGCATCCATTTCGCTCTATATCATTTTTGCAGTGATTCAGTGATTATGAATTATATATATATATATTTATTTATTTATTTTTAGTTAATTTTCTAATGGTTGAGTAACTATTAATTATTAGAAATGGCCAACTTATAATTAAGATTATTTTGAAGAAGTTAATTATAAATTTATCCTTTTTAAATAGTTAATATACTTTCGAGGAATTTTAGCGTGGAAAAATATTTATTTACTCCTCTAAAAGAAGAGAAAAGAATTAATTTTCTTAATTAAAAATATTCTCATGAAACTAAACAAATATTTTAAAGTGTTTTAATAACCAAACAATCAAGTTATTCTTTATAATTTTTCTTAATATTTTTCCAGCATCCGAAATTATCTAATGCTCTTTTAATGCATGTAGAGTAATTAGAATTTGGCTGTTAAATCTAATTTTATATTAAATTAATAAACGCATTAATACACTCAATTTAATACAAAATACTTAAATAATACTATTAAAAAAATCAAATTTAAAAGTAGAGCTTTGCTGCAATAGTGTAAAGCTATGCAGAGAAAGTTCATTGTCAGGGGCAATGTCAAACTTTATGGTTGATCGTTTGAATGCACTTTACGATTGTAAAAATACCAGTCTTTTTTTTCATATTAATAGTCGTATTTTCTGGTGGATCCGTGCTTAATAAAATACTATAAATAATTGATATTTTAATCAAATTAAATTACACAAAATATTTATCTTAGATATTAAATTAATCGTTGGATTATCGTAGAGTAGTTAATACTTCGACTGCTTTAGTTGTAAATTCTGCTAAGCAACTATCGTTAAAGTAAATTTTAAAGGTCATACTATTAAAATTACGTACTTATATCATAGCAGCATCGCTCTTCAGCATATTTAATATAACAATATTGATATATTGATAACCTACCAGTTGATATAAATACACACCAATGCAAACATTGTTCGCTTTTGACCTTTAGGAACAAATAAAATATCAACAGACAATTGTTTAACCCAGATATTCGGTTTCTGAGTTACACTTTTGAAGTGGAATTTAATAAACATAAGGGCTTGAATCTTCTACTCTTCAAGGAGTTTCAGGTTAGTTTATTATTAGCTTTAGGTCATATTTTTCTCTCATTAAATGCTTCATCATCTCTCCACTTAAAATGTAAATTTTAATATTTATGATGATTTAATTATATTTATATGGTTAACAATTTGTATACATAAGTTTACTCCTATTTATTTTTCATTAGATATAAAATAGATTTTCTTAAACTTCCTCCTGGCATTTTCGAACAAAGAAATGCCATTTAAAAGTTATTATTCGATGTTAATTTGCGCCTAAAATGACAAATAAATCTTATAAATATGCATGTTTTTTAGAAAGTTTTTTAGTTATTTAATGTTATCAATTCGGCTGTCTGGTTGTCTGTGCTGTTTCTTAATTAATAGAAATGTTATATTATCGATGCTATTTTTTGCAATATTTTATATAAAATAATTATAAAATAGGAAAAAATTGTTGAATTTCGAATGTGAAGATCATTTTTATCTCGATTTTTTGTCAAAATTATAACTTGTTTTTAACATTTTTAAATAAAATTTCTTAATTATAAAGATCAAAACAAAAACTGAGCAGAAAAATGTTAGAAATTTCATGAATTTTAAATAAAATTTTAAAATGGTTGCCAAAAAATTTAATAGATAAAAATTTATCTTTTTTTTATCTATTAAAT